TAATAATAATAATAATAATAATAATAATAATAATAATAATAATAATAATAATAATAATAATTTGTGGAATACTGTACACATTTTCGCTCCGGCAAACTCGATGAGCACTACTGCTAAGTTTTAGCACAGCTTTGTTTTAGCTCAGTTTTAGCTCAAATTCACTGTCTTTTTAATAATTCTGTATTCCTTTAACTATGTGCAGTCAAATCAATGGTAACGTTACTTCACTTTAGAAAAACTGTATACCATAACAAGATTCCCCAGCCGGTGACATTACTGGGATGCTCCCACGCGCTTACCGCAACTATGTCAGGCCCTTTGATCCTGGGCAGCGTATTTCCAGACAGTATCCACAGCCTGTTTATAAATGTGCATTACTCTTTTAGGGATAGCCCGAGTGGTAGTTTACTTTCTCGGAGTACCACACACTAGCGCATCACTCACCAGTTATTGGCAAGGGGAACGGCATGCCCTGTCCATCGGATCTTACTTTCTCGTATGGTCGCAGTGATAACCTGCACGTCTCTCATATGACGGACAGTTTGATAGTTTATATGGTCGCGGAGAGATACTCCACTGCTCTCTCTGTCACAACCAGCACTCCCTCTTCAGCCTTCATAAGTGACTACGTTCTGCACCGTATGTCATTGCCTTTAATACACCGGTAAGACATGGTCCTTTCGTTTCTACACTTTGAATACATCGGCGATGCTGTATAGTTTGCGCCAGCCGGCAGACATTCGATGTGCACTCTCCGGCTGAAGATTGTGGCGGATATTTACTTTTCGTCTGTGATAGACGTAACTGTCAGCTTCTTTTAAGTCCAAACAGACGTAACTGTCAGTTTCTTCCAAATCCACATCATCTATCTGCAATCTTGCTGCGGGTTCATATCGGGATCTTGCATCACTTTTGTTTTCGATGCGTTGATTTTCAGGCCTACTTCCTTACTTTGTGTTTGGAGCTCCTGTAGCATCTCGTTTATTTCAGGAGGCGGGATGGGGGTTGCTGGCGATAACAAATATGTCATCCGCAAAACGTAAGTGATTTAGGTTCCCATCACTATTTTTAAATCATCCTTCCAATCCAAAGCTGAAATACTATTTTGAGCCAAATTGAGAAAAGCTTGAATTGTGATATGCAATCCTTACTCCCTCCCGACCAGCATCCGTATTGGAGTAGAATAAAACGTTATGTCTGTTGAGCAGCCTATGCCTGCCTCCTGCACGATTTTCACACTGCTTCCATCAATTCCTCCATCTATAAGAACTCCCAGCACTGTATTCAGCTCTACGCTGTCGAATGCTTTTTCATAATCGAGCATTAAGAGAAAAAGAGGAGGTTAATAATCCCTTGCACATTTCAACATCTGATTCAGAAAGAATATGTGATCGATCGCGCTGCATTTATCCCGGAATCCAGCTTACTTCCTCGAGTGCTATTCATCGAGGGGTCTTATTAGTTGGCCAGTAGTAATCCTCGTGCAAGCTTGTACATATTGGACAGCAAGCAGGTCGATCAAAAATCCTTCACATCTTCTTTACCATCCTTTCTGTGCAGCAAAACCGTTTTCGACTTTTTCCAACTGCTAGTTATTTATTCTTCGGCCAAGTATTGTTGCTTTGAAATATCGCGTTTCCTGTTAAAAAGTTCAAAATTTCCCTGGTCCCAGGTACTACTTAATCAGTCAGCTATTTTTAGTAATAGATATTTTACAATAAAAAGTTACTTGCTTGTAGAATAGGCTAATACCGAAATGACCTCGAGCAATGGCATTTTTTAAATCGGTGTAAATTTGTTGCCTTCTTTCAGCGGTTTTAACATAAATCATCCGATCACCAAATAGAAGACCATCATCATTTATGATCTCTGATAGACAGAGCACATTTTCAAGGCCTTCCACCTGCAGCATGCACATATCGGTTAATCATATCAAATTGTTCGATATGTTACAGGCTATGCGAAGTAACGTACCTGATAGCTGCAAGCATTTTGTCTAAGACTGAGTGGTATGCGCCACTGCCAGTCTCGCGTTATGCTGTTAAGCATTTAAAAAAAAAACGCAGTGCATGTATAGGATGAGGGGAAAGGATGGAAATAAGCTGAAAAGAATTAAAATTAATGCGCTCTGTGTGGCTTGCCCGCAGTCTGTAGAAGAGGACCGAATCCAGTCGACGAACGGCTGCTAAAGACTCTGCGATGTAGAAGTGCCGCAGTGGAACGAATTCGACTTTTTACTAAGCACTAACAGGATGGATTGCTATCACGGTGCAGTCTCATTATCACGTTTTAAGGAAGCTGGCAAAACTTCAGTTCACGCTCCACTGTTATGCTCGTGATTCATCAAAAAGGTGGCATGGATTTCAGAGGCTATGTGATGATGTTGTGGTGGTGGTACTGACCGTAATGACAACGGGCTTGTCATAAAACCTGAGAGCACGAGCATCGGAAAGCTGAACGTAACTGTTGGAAGAAGAAGCGAAGACTGTCTTACTGTGCAAAACCGAGGGCAAAAAAGAATCAGAAATGTTATTCGTCAACCAGTTTGCACTCTCTCATTTACTACCTATTCACCTGGATTATTCAAGTCATCTTACAAGACCGCGCTGGACAGCTAGCAGTGAAAGCAAGCTTGAATTTGCAGGAATCAAAGTATTGCGCCTTCCCATTCTAAAACATCTGTGGGCTTTTCCTCACCACAAACCTGAACTTCGATTCCTTTTCGAAAGTTAAGGAAAAAAGGCATCCAAGAACACTGATGCTACACTGCGAGCTCTTGTGAAGAAGGAAACAAATGATAATTATGCTGGAATAATAAATGAAGTGCAAAAATGCTATTCGGCTGATCCAGCAATATCTTCAATTCAACTCTCTAAACTAACTGAGAAAGGCAAGATGCCAGCCGGCCCCTCATTCTCCTGACCTTCTCGCAGCTTGCCTCACTGTGTTTAATAAAACTGCGATACAGCTTCCTGAGCATCTGTGGCAAGCAAACTCTACCAATATGCTGATGTCACATTCCTCATCACATATCCGTTCTCGACACGCTTGTTCCAGCGTGGGTATTATCTAACTTGACTGTAAATTTGATGTGCAGTGCTAACATACCTGCGACATACGCAAATAATGAGGGCGCGTAAAAATCGACGGACGTGTTTATCTGAAGTGAGCAGTAACTGTGCATCGCAGTCTGCAGCTGTGAGGATGCATCTTGAGGCACTACTTGACCGCGGACATTACAGTACTGCCGAAATTCTTCAAAAACTATGCCAGATATGCCGTACCCCCTCTTTAATATACTTCCGTATTGAAACAAGCACAGTCATATCCAAAAACTATTTGATGATGGAACAAATTCTAGTTGCGACAAAAGGAAGAAAGATCCAATGATGCTTAAAGCATCTGTTATGATCATACGAGCAATCAATTAACAGGGGAGAAGCAATAGTTTTTAGGACATGGTCATAACCGTCACAAAAGTTCAGTTTCTTGACATGAAATATTATTTGAAGTGCTGAAAATCATGTTAATCAAATGCATCAGCGAAAGAGAGATGAAAACGCAAGTGAATTTCGAGAAGAGAAGCAAATGCTTTACAGATCCGGCAGGTGACAACTACAGACAGGTAGGCAGCTCAGGAAAGAAAGATGGCAGCATAACTGTGCTTAGCGCATAGATGGTATCGTTGGGCTCTCTGCATCGACAGTACAATTGATCTTGTTGGCTCTAGTAAAGAAATCTGCTTGATTATTAATAGTGCTGAAAAATGGAACTGAAAAACTCTTACTACGACTGTAAAAATCATTGGCGACGCGCATCAGGCGAGTCCGAGCGATCATACGTTTTTGCAGTATTTCGTGCTGTAGTAAGATCGATTGGAGTCCAGGTAGCTAGAATTTGTGGCACACTGATTCTCGAAGTTCAAGAAGTTAATTGTGTAACCACGTGTTTCTTAGTCAGATTACATCCTCTCGAAATTTTGGTCTCCCAGCCTTTCAGGTTCCCGAGTTAGCGAATTTTTCCCCCAAGAACTTTCAAGGGACTGTACGTGAGAACCACGCATGCCGAGGGACTGAGTTTGAAATCTTTAGGTTCTATGTGGACGGGGAACACAACCCCAAAATTTCAGCTTCCTAGCTTTTCTGGCATCAAAGTTAGCGATTTTCCTGTCAAATATTCACGCGCTTGTAGGCAGGTCCAGACAAGCGTAAGGGTTAGTACCGCAGTCCTGGGTTGGCACTTAGCCGGGGGACCCTATGACAAAATTTTGGAGCTGGAGATTGCTTGGCTGTCGGGATGAAATAACCGGACAAACACACACACATACATAAGCACACGGGATCACCACAATATGCGTTTTGCATTTGCATATATGCAGAAACGCATAGGTATATGATACTGATTTCTGAGTTCAAATAAAAAATTTAGCGTAAGACAAGACTAGTTACTTCGGCGTGACCATGATCAGCAGTTACAATAATATCCAGCCGCTTTGCAAGTTCCGGAGTGCTTAACAGCTTATCGTTGATGTATTCGAATAATAAATCCAGCTCTCGCAAAGACTTATTGATTTCACCATTTTTGAAACCATTTAGATGTAGCACACGATCTGGCTCAGACACATACCTCAAAACAATGTGTCTCACGAAATAAAACAAAAACTGTGTAACTGGATCTGATAAAGATACTAGCTTCGAAGCATGTTTTGGGGTTGGATAGCATAAGAGAAAAAAAAAGAGTGCGGCGCCCTATTTTTGGCAGCACTTATTTTACATCCAATTTGGCACTTAGATTTTGTAATTACTGGATTAAATTTATTGCCTGATGACGTGATCCAGCGTCACTAGATGTCTTAGAAACCCCTTTCATAGAATTCTGCAGCCGCTCTTAGCCTAAACTTAGCGCGCCATGGCACACTGTACATCGTACTGCTATTTCATGCTTGCCTAAATTCACGCTCTCTGAGGACCTAAGAAAGAATTCCTTGATTTGATAAACTGTAAGAATTGTGACACTGGAATACTTACCATGCAACGAAGTTATAAGGTCCATTATCGCTCGTAAACAACCGTATAATTTCATCAAAATCAGCCATCCAAAGCGATAAATTCTTGTAATCCAGCCACGGTCTATGTTTTGAACACATTATAACTTTATAAAAATAAAGCAGCTGAAACACTGCTTAAGTGTTCTTCCAGTAAACAGCGTGTTGTGGCAAAAATGTTCAATTATCACAGAAAAGGGATATGAAACTTATCTCTACAGAATGCCAAAAAGCAACTTAAAAATTGGCTGTGCAATTTTCAGTACCACACGAAATTTGCTACTGAATGCATTTCAGCAGTATGACAGGTCTGGTGTCACAATCGAATATCAGTGTGCTTGCATCCCATGCCTTTGGAACTTCTTGTAGATTAATCATTTCGGTTCATTCCAACGTACATTTACAACTATTTATGAAAAAAGTGACTTTAAAAGTCAGCTCACCTGTATAGCGATGGTTTATGCGGTGGTGATGGCCAATAACCACTCCCGGTTGGCCAGTACATGCTGGCAGAGCGTCTTCCGTTACCGGCACGCTCATTTGTTAACCATATTGGTTCTCCATTATAAAAATGATCAAGCAAAGAGGCGTTCACCGCACCCACCTTTTGCGATACGTTGAATATGTCGAATCTTTATAAGTTTACAGACATTACTACAGTTTGATAATAATCTTGAGGTTAAGCGATCAGGAATTCCCCATGCAAATGTTGTGTTAAAGAGAGTGTCGGGTAATTTGCAAAGTTTTGAAAAGGCCGAAAATCCATTAAAACCAGCAGGACCGGGAGCTTGAAGAAAATCTCCACCTTGCGTAAAGGCGATGAAATATGTGAAGCCCGCAATGTTATTCAAGTTGATGTCCGAGGTCTTTACTTGGCGGTGCTGAAGCGGAGCGCTGGCACTTCACTATGTGTAAAATTTTCTCTCACACACTGCGCATGGAATATCTGGTGAAATCCGGAATCTTTCCTACAATGTGTCGTTACCACTGCCTCTTAAAATTATGCGTTTTTGCTGTGCAGCGCTATGGCTTTCCTACAGTGAGCAAAAACACATACTGCGACGACTCCTGGTGTGTTTGTGTGTCTGTCCGGGTATTTCAACTCAGCAACCACGCAAACTCCGGAGCCAGAATTTTGCCAACGGGTTCCCTTAAAGTGCCATCCCAGGACCTTGGTACCGACCCTCATGCACGTCTGGGCTCCGCATATGACCATGTGGAAGTTCTGGCGGGAAAATGGCTAATCCGGGAACCAGAAAAGTTGGGAGGCCAAAACTTTAAGGGGATATTCCCCGTCCACGTAGAGCTCACAGATTTCAAATTCAGCCCCTGGTTTGGCGTGGTTCTCACGTACGGCCCCGTGAAAATTTCTGGCGAGAAAATGGCTAACTCGAGAGTAAGGATAGCTGGGAGGCAGAAATTTTGAGGTGTTCTCCGTGCAGTTAGAACTCAAAGACTTGAAATACAGAGCCCCCCCCCCCCTTCTTGCTCCTTCCGGCATGCGTGGTACTCACGTCTGGCCCCAAGAGATTTTTTGGCGAAAAAATTGCTAACTCGGGAGCCAGAAAAGCTGAAATTTTAACAGAATGTTTTCTTTCCAAGTGTACGTGGTAGTTATACGATTAACTTTTTGAAGTTTGAGGACAGTATGTCATAAATTCTAGCTATTGTGATTCCAAGCGATCTTACAACAGCATGAGATACTGTAAAAACGCATGATCGCACGGACTAGCCCGATGCGCGTCGCCAATGATTTTGTTTTTGAAACCGTATTCGCATATTAAACAACTGAAATATTCAATTAACCACATCAGCATAATTGTGTTTTGTCTCGATGAAGAGAACGATGGGGCGGAAGGGTATTGGGATGCATCTCTTTCCGAACACAGAAGAGAATATTTCATAAGAGCACTGTCGTAAGGAAGAAAAACTTGCTAGCCAGAAGAGAGCGCAATTCTTGTTAAGCAACCAGTAGACGTTGTTTTGCGAAAGATGGTGCCCTCAGAAATGAAAACTATTATTCGGCTGACTTCAAAAGACGTAATGGGTGTATGCAATGCTTATATCGTGTGAAAACTCAAGGCAGCAAGAGTTAGCGAAACTGCAACGGACACGATGCTATATCACACTACAACTGATGGAAAGACGGGGAGAAAGAAAGCTTCGAGGAAAGGAGGGAAGGGAGAAAAAATAAATGGAATGCGAAGTGGGGGTCCCACAGTGAAAGTCAGGACAGCCTTGGTGGTGTAAAAAGGTTGCTAAATTTATTTCAAGCCACGGCTGGAACGAAACATACGTTGTGTTGGTAGCAAAATCGTGGAAGAAGTTGGCAACGATTCCATGCGTCTCGACAAGGAGCCCGGTCGCTATGGATGCATGATTTGGCGCTGTATAAGAGAGATATTGCGGGCGACTGCCTTGTTTGAAGTGCACACCTAGAAACAATGTACTTACGAAGGTAACCGGCAACGCGAGCATCCTGCATTGCTTGTGCAGCCTAACACATTAAACAGTACGGCGACTAACGCTCTAATGCTTGGCGCTTGCATTATTATCATAAGAACTGAGAGAAAAGGAATGAACTAGTCAGACGCACAACACAAGGCGTTTGTTCGGCAACGACCAATCCTTGTAGTTGCAAACGCTATTTACAACTTCAGAAAACTTAGAACAGAAAAAAATTTACGAAAACCATGATAAAGCTAGAAAAAGAAACTACCCCAGAATCGCAAGATCGCGGAGATGGGGTGAAAAAATGCGACAAATCAGGGCACGATGCCAAGGCGGAGAGGAATGAGAGCTTATTAAGAAGGCATGCCAAAAGGAGCTAAAAGGTGCCAAACCGCATCAAAAACAAAATCGATTTGAATGTGTCCAGTTTCAGGAATGAGTGCGAAAAAATGGGTGCGAAAGTACTGTACAATGAAAACGTCATTTTGCGAGAAGGACATGATATAGGTGAAAAGCTTTCCTTTTGACTAAATCATGTTAAAAAGGTAAGAAAGAACCTTCATTAGCAAATTTCCAAATATTTGGTACGACACTGGACTGCAGCAAATCGTAACGAAAGCCATCCAACGAAATGAGCAGTAGCAGTGGATTTTCATTGAGTGACTTGACTCTCAGCGTCATCATCCATGATACCAATAAACTGATTAATATGCACTGCCGCACTACAGTAGCAGTAGCAGCAGCTGCTGCTGCAACCACTTGCCCCGGGCCCGAGAGCATGGAATAAGATCGCCTAAAATCTACACCGATGGACGCACGAATAAAATTAGCAACCGAAGAATCTGCATAAAAGCGAGGAGAATTCGCAAAAGTGCATGCGAGACCGGCGGCTATGAAACCGAACGAATATACTGCGTTTTACACGAGCAAATAAGTAGCGGCAGAACCCGGGAGCTGATGCAGTTATATACGCTTCTTCGATAAAGTTTTGCGTGTGCGTGAACGACCAGTTGGTGATGCATAAATGTTCCTCATAATCTTACAACTGTTGCAGCTCACAAGAGGCATCAAAATTTCGGGCTCAAGCTTTGCTCCATCCCAATATCATGGTGTGAGACCGCATTATACGGTACGCACCTATATCAAATAATTGGCTAACGCATTTTGGCGGGCCCGTACTTGGGTACCACGCTTACCCGGGGGCCGGGTTTGAGCTCATTAATACCTACTTGGACGGGGAACATCACCTTAAAATTTCAGCCCTTGAGCATTTCTGGTTCCCGAGTTAGCAGCTTACCCGTAAAAAAATTTGGCAGGGTCTTGCGTGGGTACTATGTGGGTAAGACTCCCCCCATTTTGGGACGTTGGCCCGTACTGCATGTAGATTAAGTCCTCAAAGTTTCAGCCCTGTAGCTTTATGGAGGTCTCAAGATGAAAAATAGGTACAGAGGTCCTGCGCACATACAGACACACACATACAAACACACACACAGACAACCTCTCGTCAGTATGCGTTTTCCGCACTGCATAGCTGCAAAAAACGCATAAAAAACAGTGCTGTCAATTCGGGTTAATAAAGCGTAAAATTTGTCTCTGGTTCGCTTTGCTCCGAAACAGTAAAACTCATCGGGTTTGGCAGTACGACCAAAAGACAGACTATATTTGAGATTTTCACGTGCTCTTCATCTCAAAGTAACTGAATAATTAGTCGCTCAAACCAGTTTGGTTTTCTTCTGGTCCAAGCATTGTAAGATTGAAACAATTTGAACTCGAGGTCGTAGCGTGAAATATACTGCTGCATGCTATTCGCCTCAAACTATTTGGTAAACTGATCTCTTATGATTTCCAGTTTGTAGCTCTCCTGATATTTCTAGCTTTTTGTGAGAGAGAGAAATTGGGATTTAGAACTGACGTCATATATCAGCGGACGAAGACAGCAGAAGTTGAATTTAGGTTTGTGGTGCTTTACAAGACAGTGGTGTATGTGCTCCCAGAATTCCAGTTGTCTAGCTTGCGCACTTCAAAATGAATTATCCGGAATGACAAACCATAAAGCAAGTTGCACAAATCACTTACGCAAAAACGGATTACGGCCAGTTCATGTCTGTGCGCTTGCCTGACTCCACAAATGGACTTCCAGACTGGGAAAGACTTAACGTTCCAACTCCACGACACGGACTTCCTGGTCTTGCCACTAAGAAACAGACCAATTCTGAAAAGCTAGCGTTACTTCGTCGGCAGCTGCTTACGGTGTGTGTTCGGCGCACCTCTGTGTGTGTGTGTGCGTGTGTGTGTGTGTGTGTGTGTGTGTGTGTGCCTCTGTTTGTGTCTCTGTGAGCCAGAAGAGGTAAGGGACCAGGAAGAAGGTAGGTATGTCGTGTGGAGGAGGAAGGAAGATGGATTGGATGTACGTTTGTGCGATTACAATGCACCGGAGCAAATGACTCCCAAATGTGTGTGAGGCCGCAAGTGGGGTCGAGTTCTAGTGATCTGCAGAGCACAGCAAAGATTCTGGACTTTCCGACTCATATATTTGTAAAAGGTGAGGTTCCGTGCGTAGAAAACTCTTAATTCCTTATCGACTACTTCCAGGCCACTGATTAGGCCTTCTTATCTTCTAACCTTTGATCTTGGATTTCATTTGCACTATGTGTCCGAAGCGAGGAAAATGTCAAGGGCTTTTAGGTTTTCATCCCAAGCGAATCCTTCAGCGTTCTTGTCCCCGTGACCTCAAGTTTAAATGAAGAGACTGGATTAGCTCAAGACCGGGTTTTTACGGCTTGCAACAGTAATTCCGATCAGCGAGCTCTGCGTATGAACTTTCTTTTCTGATCTGTAGCCGTGAGTGCAGATTTAATACGTTGCTATTGATAAAGAGCAAAGCCTGCCACGAACGGATTGATTCGTGCAGCCACCAGAATGTATGCGAGCCCGTAAAAACAACGAAAAAAGTAAAATGCACACATAATCGAGGAGACCTTCTGATGAGCGCCGCAGTTTTATATTCCCGTGAAAACTGCGCTATTTAAGTTCGTATCTAGTATGTGCACAGGGTCTGTTTGTTCGTTTGCTCTAACGAACTAAATAAGTTCAAGATCTGTAGAAAGTCAGAACTTCTTCCCTGTCCTGCACTGGAAATCTGCTGCTGTCATTTTAGAGCCAATATTGTTGAACAGCACAGCAATAGCTATTTCAATTGTTTTCAGCAGCACGGTGCGCATCAAGCTTTTGGAACAACGAGTACAAGAAGCAAATTCGAGCTGTCACATTTGGTGGGATCAGCTAAACAGAATCTGGAACTGGATACCGTCATTGGGGGTGCGGTACTTGTTGCTAAGGCCTCGTAATGTACTGCTAAAATTAGACTTGCTCCGGACATGTTTTCACTTATCAGATATTATTTCAGAGCTCTTCATCTGAAATTTAAAATTGTTTCAGGATAAGTTTAATATTTTCCTTGGCGAAAATTAATGCGTGCGCGCGCAGTCGAACATCATCGTACTGGAATTTGCGCATACCATCTGAATTTTTCACTTTCAGGTGCATTTGTACATCGTTTCAGCACCTGCCTTTTGCCAACCGGTTTCAGGGCCGCATGCATTTCACGTATTTTTCTGGATGCCCTACAGTCAGCCAAATTTTATGAAAGAAAATGCGCAAACATGCGGATGCACATACAGGCAGCCACAATCCATAAGGCGATTCTCCTAAAGAGCAGAAAAAGAAGGAAAAATACGAAACTTACTGTGGAGCGAAAGAGGCAAGATAACAGCGTGTGCAGTAACGAATAAATAGACCGAACACTAATGTATGTAAAACTGTTGTGACGGGCGAAGCAAGCTGCACGGCACGGCACAATTCTCATCAGTTGCTTTCTCATTTAACACATGCTTTGATGAACGTTTGCTTCGACACTTCTGAAACGGAGGGCCTCTTTTGAGAGTTTCTGGGGATGATGCAGCCAACTACCAGGATTTGCATTTTCACCAGGTAGCAGGATCAAAAGCGCCGAATAACTGCGTTTATCAAAGATAAATTGCGGCCAGCACACAACACAGTCAACAAACTTAAACAGATCAGGCCTGCAAACGCAGACTAAAAGATGTTTATTTGACCGAACCCCCCTCCCCCTAAGACATTATCTTGCCAGGGTTTTGTTTGATTTATGCAAAAATAAGTAAAAACTTGGGATGTACGATATTTGTAAGGGTTTCCGTCATAATCTCATTCCTTTTGCAAACTTGTTTTGTGCGGACTACAGATTGATTTTATTTGAGCACTTGTGTAAGCTGGCAAAAATTACTGTCTGATAACTTGTTTTTCTGTGAATTTCTTATTCGTTCAGTCTGAAGCTGCCAGGCACAAATGTCTGTCAGTTTTTATGCGTTTTTTTTGCATCTATGCAATGCAAAAAACGCATATTGACGAAGGGTTGTGTGTGTGTGTGTCTGTGTGTTCGTCTGTACCGATTTTTCATCTCGAGACCTACGAAAGCTACAAGGCTGGAACTTTGGGAACTTAATCTACCTGTGGGCCCTCATCCCCAAAATGGGCGGTCCCACCCGCGTGGCACCCATGTGCGGGCCCGCGAAAGTTTTTGCGGGTAAGTCGCTAACTCGAAAACCTGAAAAGCTAGAAGATTAGAACTTTAAGGAGGTGTTCCCCGTCCAGCTGGGTATTAATGAGCGCAAACCCAGCCCGTGGGTGTGCGTGGAACCCACGTACGGGCATGCCAAAGTTCTTTTCGGATTTCTAATTCAGGAACCTGAGAAGCTAGGAAACTGGAATTATAAGAGGATGTTTCCTGTCTACGTAGGTTCTAATAAGTTCAAACCTAACCCCCGGGTATCCGTGCATTCTATGCGCGAGCCTGTGAAGTTTTTTGGGGATATGTTACTAACTCGGGAACCAGAAAAGCTGGAAAACTGAAATTTAAAGGGGGCGTCCACCGTCCACGCAGGTATTAATGAGCTCAAACCCAGCCCCTGGGTATGCGTGATACCCACGTACGGGCCTGCGGTAGTTTTCTCCGGGTAAATTGCTAACTTGAGGACCTGAAAAGCTAGACGACTGGAATTTTAAGAGTGTATTCTCCGTCCAAGTAGGTATTGATGAGTTCAAACCTCCCCTCGGTGGGTACCACGCATACTATATACCGGTCCGCTGAAGCTTATTTTCGGGTAAGTTGCTAACTCGAGAACCTCAAAAGCTAGAAGACTGGAATTTCAAGGGGATGTTCCAAGTCCATGTAGGTCTTAATGAGTTCATGCCCAGTCCACGGGTGTGTGATTTCTATGTACAGGCCCATGAAACTTTTTTGCGGGTAAGTTGCTAACCCGGAAACCAGTGAAGAAAGCTGAAATTTTAAAAAGATGTTTTCAGACAGCCCTGATGGTCAGTCTCAATTTTGTTAGCTAGAAGCATTTGTAGGAATAACCGGTGCCGTTAGCGACAAAAACCTGCGGGGAACTATATAAAAAACGCATCTTCGCACCGACAGTCGGTGCGTTGGATAATTATTATGATTTCACGAAAGATTCTGTCTTCCCCTTTTTAAATGGAAAAACAAGACTACCCTTATTTTTTCCTTAAGGGTTTCATGGAACTTGATCTACGCCGCTTAGTTCTTTAAACTGTAGTTTATTTCGTATTTAATTTTAAAGGCACCAGAATTCCCTTTGTGTCAGCTTTCTCCGGAGAATATTGTGAACAAATAATCACCGTGTAATGCGCCCTCAATCAAACCAGCTGTTCTTTATGGCTTAACTAGCAAGGCAGCA